TAAGAATTATGGGAATAATACAATAGAAATCCACACTTAGCTGCTATGCAAATTTTACTGTGCGTGCGTCATCTATATAAACATTCAACTGCACTGAAGGTAGCTGATAATCCAGAATCCATGGCCAAATTGAAGGAAGAAGTAACAAGAAACTTGGGCGTTAATGTGCGTGAGTTTCTATTCTACTTCCTTCTGAGCTCGTAATTCTGAAATACTCACGCACATTAAGCACAAATCTCACGCACATTAAGCACAAATCTCACGCACATTAAACACAATACTCAGGCACATTAAGTACAAAACGCACACATATTAACATGACGCACATTAAGTACAAATCTCAGGCACATTGAGTACAAATCTCACGCACAATAACTATAAACCTCACGCACATTAATCCACCACACATCCGCACGTGAAGCCACAAATGCACCTGATCTCTTCCCTATATATATATATATATATATATATATATATATATATATATATATATATATATATATATATATATATATATATATATATATATATATATATATATATATATATATATATCATTCTCCCCATCATCCTTTGCTTATTCTTTTATTTTCTCCCTTCTTTAATTCGCTTTTCTTCCTCTTATTCTATTTTTTCCTCATTTGTTACGTTATATAAAAACTAGTTACAAACACATAAGTTGCACATAATTTTATGCCTAATGAAGTATTGAGTAAAATTTTGAAATTTAATTATGTATCTCAAATTTTGATAGTTGGATACAAAAAGAAAGGAAAACAAAAAGCTACATATGCAAACAATCTAGCAAGGCGATAATTTTCATTAGGGATAGACCGATGTTATAAATATTATTTGAACTAAAACCCAAAATTTAAATTGAATTTAAAATTTTGGGTAAACTCATAGAATTTTAGGTTTATATTTATTAAATTATGGTATATCTAAATATAAACATGATTTAGATATGGAGGGTAAAATTTTAACCATACCCAACCCAAAACTTGAAATGTACATACTAACCTAACACTCACATGAGCAAATATTACAATTATCACTTGATATTATTTTACTTACAAATAATCCCAAATTGGTGATGAAAATTTTACATTTTTCAATCACCCTAAAGAATAAAAGAAAAAAATTCAAATATAAAATTTCTAACAACCATGACAAAATATGTTTATATCGAATTCAAACGTAAACAACATTTTTATAGAATTGACACTAATATTGTTAGAGTGTTGACAAATAATCCTAACATGCCAAAAGTCCATTGGGTCAAAGAAACCAATAGGCATCTAGGTTTTTGTGGGTAGAAAAATTGAGATTTTTGTGGGTAAAATAACAGATATTTTAGTGGGTGCAAGTAAAATTTACTTTGAGCATCAATACTAAGTGCATCTATAGTTATAAGTAGTTGCACTTATAGTTATAAGTAGGTGCACCTAGGTGCATGAATGTTTGCGGGAAGTGAATGTTAATAAGGTAAAATTACATGCACTGATAGGTTAAAGTAGGTGCACCTATAGTATAAGTAGTTGCACCTATAGTTATAAGTAGTTGCACCTATAGTTATAAATAGGTACGGTGCACTTAGGTGCATGAACGTTTGCGGGAAGTGAATGTTAACAAGGCAAAATTACATGCACTTATAGGTGAAAGTATGTGTACTTGTAAGTGATTTTACTTGCACTTCGATGTTCAATTATTTACGAAAATATCACCGCGTTTTTTTTAATCTATTAGATCTAGACACGTGTCGCGCGTTGATTCGTTCGCATATTTCCTCTTGGACACTTATTCGCACCTGAGTGCATCCCTCTGTGTGTGTATTTCTATTAGAATCCGACAAAATTAAAAGTTTATTGTTTGTGTAAAAGCTTAAACCTAGCTCTATATTTTCGCTCACAAAAGTTTCAATTTTTAACAAAATTATAAGTTACTTTGCCACAAAATCTTTCATTTTTCAGCCCATAAAAAATATCAATTACTCACCTATAAAAATCTTGATTTCTCTACCCACAGAAATATCGATTAGTTCACCCGTAGAAATTTAATTTCTCTGCCCACAAAAACCTAGATGCTTATTAGGGATCTTTGACCCAGTGGACTATTGGCATGCTAAGATGATTTCTCATCACTCTAACAATGTTTATTTCGATTCTAGAAAAATGTAGTTTATGTTGAATTCAAAATAAACATATTTTGTCATGGTTGTTGGAAAATTTAGAGTTTATTTTTTTATTTAATTATTTTTGTGGCGGTAAAAAATGGGATATTTTCATCAAGATTAGTGACTAATTAGTAAGTAAAAATAATATCAATTGATAATGATAGTATTTGCACATGTGAGGGTTAAGGCTAGTACAATTCAATTTTTGGGTTGAATAAATTAAAATTTTCAATATCTGAGTCATATTTATATCCGTATATACCTGTAATATATATACAACTCTAAAATTATACGAGTTCACACAAAATTTTAAATTTGACGAGGAGAAAGCAAAAATAAAAAACTATATATATATATATATATATATATATATATATATATATATATATATATATATATATATATATATGGAAGGGCTCGCGTGCATTTAGTCCTTTCTGTAAAAAATGAGGTTGAATCTAAGCCTTACGTAGCTCTTGATCCAACGAATAAGATTAACAACAAAAAAAATAAACGCGAATTGCTCATTAAGGGCATTTTGGTCCTTTTGATTATATTAACAAAAATCAAAATTTCTGATCTTCTTCTTTGCGCGTTTTCAAAATTCACCATTGATTCCTAATCTTCGATATTTTCTAATCTGAGACGATTTTGCGATCTCTATGAAATTGGCAATAAAATCTATTGTCTTCATCGTTCAATAGCTTATTCGTCAAAAGAAACCGTAAACCCAGCAACAACGTCAACCGATCAAGAATGGAAGAATTCGATCAAGGTATTACCCAATTATTATCGCTTTTTTGGAATTAATTTTATCTGCAGTTGTATTGGCCTCCTTCTTGTCTTAATTACACGCACATTAAACACTACATGCATGCAACTTAACAACTGAATTACTGACCTACTTTAATTATTCCAAGCCTAAAGACTTACGCACGTAGATGATTACCTAGCCGCATGTTAATTTTTACAAATGCGCATATTACAGTTTTCACTAATGCCGGTTAATTACCGGTGTAAAATTTTAAAAAAACCTTACGCATGTTATTTGTTAAGCACACGCACTTTCAGTCCTTTCCAGACGCATATTAATGTTAATGGACTCACTGACGCACGTTAATTAATGACCTAACATTTTAAAAAACTGTTAGGCATGTTAACTGTTCAATATACGCACATTAACTATTACCCTGACACACGTTAAGTGCTGATTTGCCGCACATATTCTTGTATTTTATAAATCTGCCATATTGACAATAATCTGATTAAATTAACGCATATCAAGTATTCACACTACGCACGTAGAGGCTTACAACAACGCAATAATAACTTCATGCTTATACATTACAGTTCCCAGTGACTTTCAATCTACGAACAACCCAAGTTTGAGTCCCAGCAGCAGCAGCAATGGTTATACATTGACCATATCTCCTGGAATGACACAGTATTGGACTCCGCACTGTGAAGATGAAATCAAACCAGCGGTTGACATGATTTTTAAAACATTGGATGCTGGTATTGAATTCTAAAATAATTATGCTGCCAAAGTCGGGTCTGACACGAGGTCTAGTTCCCTCGTTAGAGCACGCGACAGGACGAAAACTCTAAAGCAAATCGTTTGCAATAGAGAGGGATTTAAGAATACGGGTGCTCAACATTGTCACTCAAAATCAACTGCAGATGCGGGGGAAGGTCCTTCGCGTCCAAAGCGACGGAGGGTTTCAAACAGAACTGGTTGCAGAGCTAGGATTATTTTTAAGTACATTGGAGTAGCTGGGTACCAAGTTACGACATTTATTGAAAAACATAATCACAGCATGTCTTCGGTTCTGGCAAGGCAGTTCCTAAAGGGAAATAGAAACATCTCAAGTGTTCATCAGAAGTTTATACTAGATTGTGCTAAAGCAAATATTGGAGCATCAAAATCACACGGTTTATACAGTCAGATTGTGGGGGATTACTCTGAAGTTGGAGCAACTGTAGTCGACTTTAAAAATGTCAGAAGGGATCTCAGAGCACACATATTGGGTGCTGATGCACAAATACTCGTGCATAATCTTATTAAAAAACAAGAGATGTGCCCTGCATTTGCTTTTGACTATGAAGTTGATGAAGATGAGCAGATGAGTAGATTGTTTTGGGCAGATCCAATGTCAAAAAAGAATTTTGGTGCATTTGGAGATGTTGTCTCTTTTGATGCCACATATTCAACCAACAGGTATTATTCTATTCACATTCTTGCGTACGTTTCATTAATTAATTCACATTAAGCATTGCCTTATATGTTGAGTCACGTTTAGATTTAGACATGTTCACTGTTTACTTAAGAAGAATTGTAACATAAATAAGCGCACATTGTCGTTTTATACCACGCATGTTTAACACTAATGTCGTGCATATTAATGTGGAACATCCAGAATTAGACTTCAAGTACATATGTCTGCGATTTTAAAACTTAATGTGCGTTAGTTTAATGCTCTAAGTGCGCCAGTTTGACACCTGATACTGTGATGACGCTTTTTGTCTTGTAGGTACGATCTGATTTTTACACCCTTCACCGGAGTTGATAACCATAAAAAATGTATAACATTTGGCACTGGACTATTGTTGAAAGAAGACATTGAGTCTTATGTTTGGCTCTTTGAAAAATTTAAAAAGGCAATGGGTATGGAACCAAGAATAATTGTTACTGATCAAGATCCAGCTATGAAAGTGGCGATTCCAAGACTTTTCAAGCAAGCCAGGCATCGCTAGTGCATGTGGCACATTATGTGTAAAGTTGGGGAAAAGGTGGGTCCTACGTTGAACAAGAATGAGGAATTCAAGAACAAACTGAACTCAATCGTTTGGATGTCATCTTTGGAACCTCCTGATTTTGAGAAACAGTGGAGAGAGCTCATGGAAAAGTACAACTTAGTCGAACACATTGGTTTACAACTATGTTTGAGGCTAGAAACCATTGGATCCCAGCCTATTTTAGAGATGACTTTATGGGGGGTCTACTCAGGACAACGTCTCATTCAGAAAGTGAGAACTACATGTACAGCCGTTTTACTGGCCCACAGTCTAGCCTAGTTGAATTTATGATGAACTTTGACAGTGCTCTTAAATCACAACGTAACACAAACACAAAGCTCAACAGTGACAATGAAGGCTACAATCCAGATATGAAGACGCCTATGGTGATCGAAGAACACGCTTCAATCGTCTACACAATTACTGTTTTCTATCAAGTTCAGGAAGAAATATGTGCCTCCTGTTTCAAATGTATGGTGTTGAGTGTTAAAGAAGATGGTGGAATGTTACTCGATGATGTTATGGATGGAAAGAACAAAATATTTATTGTGGTGCACAATGTAAATGACCATGAGGCCAAATGCAGTTGCAAGATGTTTGAGATGGTTGGACTGTTGTGTAGACACATATTTGTGGTATTTAGAGACCTTGAAAAGATCCCTCTGAAGTATGTGGTTAATCGGTGGACTAAGGATGCATCTTTAAAGGCTACATTTGAAATAGATGGTGTCCTTTATGATCAGAATAGACCAAAGGATGAAAAGAAGATGTTGTTGAACAAACTGTGGTCTGATGTACACTGTTGTATTGATCTAGCAGGTTGAAACATGGAGCAATTGGCTACATTTTCGCAAGTGATTAATGAACAGAAACATCTGCTAATATCAGGAAAGGAAAAGTTATCCCCTTAGCATAGTAGGAAGACTGTTATAGAATCATTTTGTGGATCAACAGAGATTTCAGAGATCAATATACTTCCACTGAAACATGCAAAGAACAAGGGCAGCGGCAAACGTATCAAAAGCAACAAGGAGTTGGCAATGGAAAAAGAAAAGGGCAGGAGGTGCAATTTTTGTGATGTTAGAGGAGATCAACATGACACTAGGACTTGCCCACTTAACCCCAAAAATAAGGACAAACAAAAAGCTGCTAATGTCAGGAAAGGAAAAGTTATCCCCTTAGCATAGTAGGAAGACTGTTATAGAATCATTTTGTGGATCAACAGAGATTTCAGAGATCAATATACTTCCACCGAAACATGCAAAGAACAAGGGCAGCGGAAAACGTATCAAAAGCAACAAGGAGTTGGCAATGGAAAAAAGAAAAGGGCAGGAGGTGCAATTTTTGTGATGTTAGAGGAGATCAACATGACACTAGGACTTGCCCACTTAACCCCAAAAATAAGGACAAACAAAAGGGTAAGAAAAAGGCATAGCAGTCTATTTTTACAACGCCTTTACAGTTGAGAACGAAAATAAATAGCAAATATGAAAAACAAATACTTAGTTAACTCATTTTAGAACGCTTTTACAGTTGAGATACTTGAATTTAATGTTCAGCTATTACTAGTTTTTGTTTTTATCACTGATTTGTGTTTAACAATCACTACTACTAGCTTAAACAGCGTTTCATTAATAATTTACCTGTGTGCAGTTAATTCTTAATATGCGTTGATTACACTTTTAATGTGCGCTACATTAAAGATTAATATGCGTAATACGGAAACAGAATGTGCGTTGGTTTATGTATAAAAACTTTGGTCCATGGTAAATGCCAAAGTCTTTACATGCATTGATTAACGTTTAACTTGCGCGACATTAGAGCTTAATATGCGTAATCTGGACAAAGACAATATTTAACACTTTCTTTTTCTAATATGCGTTTATTTATTAGTTAATATAGGATGCGTTAAAAATTAGTCTAATATGCGCAATTGCAAAACTTAAAGTGCGTTTGTTTGATTATAAAATAATTTGCAGATAAAATGGCACATATATAATCGATTATTTATTTATTTATTTATTTATTTATTAATTTTGGTTGTAAACCACAATGTGGTCCGCCCAAGTTATCATGGAATTCTTCCCGTCGTAAACCCCTGTGGGCTTAAATACATGATCAATTTAGTACTTTATGATTTGAATTTAACATGCGCGACATATCAATTTAAAATGCGTAATGTGGGAACACAATGAGTGTTGGTTTCTATATTAATAATAATAATTTACATTCTAATATGTTAGTATTTGTACACGTAAATACACATTGAAACAAAACCAAACACATTCAGTGTGTGTTTTCTAGTACTTTGAAGACATTTTTTCTGGTTCCGGCAGCATCCGACACGCTGCCAGCCTGCCACAATGCTCAACTCTCAGCCTTGGATGATGTTTGGTTGCGGGATGATGAGCTTGCAGCTTAGAATGACGAATGATGTTTCAGGTTTAGAATGTGTTGTTTTTGTAGTTAGTTACAATCACTACAAGCTGGAGGGCGAGGAAGACGAAAACTACGTAGAATATGAGGAATAAATGAAGAGGATTCTTCTGTTCGTGCGGAAACGTGAGACATAGCCATTTCAATAACCTGATGCTCAGTTGTGTGTTTTTCCTTCTAATTCATAGGTGAATAACTTGGTCACATGCACTGATTTGAGATTTGAATGTTGCGTGATTTACAGACACATTAGATTTTTCAAGATTTCCTTTAATGGGTGCGTTTTTTAAGGCATTGAATGACCATTCAATGTTATCCGTTTCCCCAACCACAAATGCCTTAAAGTTCTGACATCAAGTATCTTTGGATATTACTTAAAGACGGATTGGTATAAAAGAGTTAATGTGCTTTGCTTTGCTCTGTTACATGCGCGAACTACAAGAACAATATGCATGTAAATATACATTTAATTAAATTGCATCTAAATAAGAGATTTTTAAAAGCCAAAAGTTTAAAGTGCGTCTGGAAACCAATTAAAGTGCGCGAAATATCACTTTAACATGCGTTTATTTAAGACATAATGTGCATGGATTCAACTACCAAATGCTACATTCATGCGTAATATGTGTAACACTTTAACAGGCCGTGCTTTTTGTTTATGCCTAAACACTTTGATCGATCGTGAATGCCAACTGCTTTACCTGCGTTTATTAACATTTAACTTGCGCGACGTTAAAGCTTAATAATCGTAAATTGGACAAATACCATACTCACCCGTTCATTATTAAACAAACAAAAAATATAATAAAAAAATCAAGTCTTTAAGGGGATTTCGATCTTGGGCGGAATCAATATGATCAAAGACTTCTACAATTTTGCCAATGGGCTCATCCATTACTTTAATTATATCAAAAATATTAAACAACAATTCCTGAAAATTAAAAACAAACAAAATGAAAAAAAAAAGAATATATTTAAAATGCAATAAGTACACTTAAGATGCGTAATACGGCAATAAAATGTGCGTTGCTTTATGTATTAAAACTATAGTCCGTGGAAAATACAAAAGAGCTTAACATGCACAATACAGTAACACAATGTGCATTAGAAAATACGTGAGTCTGGATGTTTTTTTCCAAACATAGTAATATGCGTAGAATTTGGTCTTAATGTGCATTTTTTTATATCTTATATTTCCTTGAAAAAAAATCTTAATGTGCTTGAATTTTTCTATTAAATTATCATGTAACACGAAACTATTAAGATCCCAAATTACATAATGTCCATTGATTTTTGTGTAATAGTACTCGGATTTGCTAGTTTATTTAACCATTATCAAAAACAACCAAAAAAAAAAAAAGAATAAAATGCAGAAAGATTTATTATTTACATTGAAATAATTTACACTTTGAACTGCTACTGCTACTACTACAACTATAATATTAATAATAATAATAATAATAATAATAATAATAATAATAATAATAATAATAATAATAACAACAACAACAACAACAGTAATAATAATGAAGCGGACATGAGAGCTTATTTTTAATAACACACAAAAAAAAGACCCAGGCAAACGACATGATCCGTCTATACCTTTTGGAGATATTCCTTTTGGTTAAGCCTGCATTAAGGTACCAAAAGATATATCTCCAAATGGAGTAGAGGATCCTGCCGCATGTCTGGGCTAAAACAACACATTATAAACCTGAAAAGATCGACTTCTATGAATCTAAAATCTAACTGATCCACATGTATTGGACTGCCCCACATGTTATATTCAACTTACAGACAAAGTTGATCTCTAAATTGAATATCCAAATCAGTTAGCATTTAGATCCACAGAATAAGATCTTTTCAGGCTTAAAATGTGCTGCTTTAGATGAAAACAACGATAACATGTGCTCTACTCAAATGAGGTCGGCTTCGCTAATAGTTCTTTTACATCCTCGTATAAACTTCCAGGGTTGAGGTATAGTATTTGATCCATGGGATGTTTACAATGTGTTGTTATTGTAATCAACTACATTGACAAACAAGTAGAAGGAGGGCGAGTATGAAGAGGATGGGTAAACATCGTAATGAATGTGAAGAAAATGACGACGAATAAATGATGGTCTGTAAAACTGAAATGACACCGTTTCAATATATATGTTGTATGGTAAGGTGATACTCCACTTTTATAGGCGAATAACTTGGTAAAATTCACCGATTGGAGAAATTCAATGTTAACTGTTTAGTGAACTTAAAAATAAATTGACGTTCACAATTAACGTACAGGGTGCGTGCTTTTCTACTTTAGTGTGCGTTAGTTAAGATTTTAATGTACGTGAATGAGTGCATTTTTTTAGCGGTTGAGATAAATATGAATTGCTTATTCGACGCCTAATAAAACGCAACCATTGAAGAATCCGTTTTCTATTATTATTCAAATAATTTTTATTTTTTTCTGTTTTTAATTTATTTTTGATATATTGAAATATTTTTCTTCCATTTTTAAATCCTTTCCAATGTTAGAATGCGTATGCATGTATAAATTAATATATAGAGCAAAATAATTTAAAATGCGTCTATTAATATGACAATGTGCGACGGGGTATTCTTAAAAGAATATGCGTCAATTTATTCACTAATATGCGCACGTCAACACGTTATTATGCGTGTCTTTCATTCTTAATGTGCATGACATTGTATACTCACTGACTTAGACCCAATAAAAAAAAAAAACATTAATGGGTGCGTTTTTTTAAGGATTGAATGACCATTCAACTTTAACAGATTCCCATTATGGGAAATAGAAAAAATGCTGACATCGAAATTGACTTGTCAATTATTTCTAATGCCAAGTACATATCTATCGGACCTTATTGCTCTAATATGCGTTACATCTACACTTAACATGCGTGTGCGTGTTTGTACAACTTAAAATACATGGAAGAAAATAATTTAAAATGCGTCTATTACTATTACAATGTGCGTTGGGATATTCTTAAAAGGATATGAGTAAATTTATTCATTAATATGCGCACATTTATACTTTATTATTCGTGTATTTCAGTCTAAATATGCATTAGATTGTATACTAACTGACTTAGACCCAATAAAATAAAATAAAATAAAAAACTTTAATGGGTGCGTTTTTTTATAAGTTGAATGACCATTTAACTTTAACAGATTTCCTTTATGGGAAATGAAAAAATTGCTGACAATGAAATACACTTGTCACTTATTTTAACAGATTTCCTTTAACATGCACCCGTTCATAAGTCGGTAATATGTTGAAGAGTCTATTTAAAGAATGAAAATCCATCACACCTTCTCATCTCAAAAGAAAGATGGATTCTAAAAAAAAAAAATGATGAGAAAGTCAAACAGTCGAAGAAAGCCCGAAAACCCCTTTCCAAAATAGCAAAAGAAGATTTACCATCACTGAAAAAGGATCTGAATGATCCAACTTTCGAAGAACGGTTTCAAGCATTTATTGACAACTACCCTGATCAGAGTACCCCTGATGATTCAGGCAGCGACACAGGCTCAAAAGTCTCTTTCAACACTTGGAAAATGGAGGTTCTTGCCTACCTAGCTGATGAAGAGGCTGATGAAGAGGAAGAAGTCGACTCAAAAAATGGGCCAATCTTCGTGAAGAAAGAAAGGAAGGGTTAAGCTTGATTATGCAGTGTTATGATGGACGCACGTTATTAATATTACGTTTTGATGTAATAAGTGTCCACTCATTAATGTTTTTATAATATCAAGTTTATTATGGTGAAGCTGGTAATTTTCACGATGCTTAAAAATGCTTTGATAAACCATTTAACTTGCGCAACATTAAACCACCATTTAACTTGCGCAGCATTAAACCTTATGTGCGTTAAAAAAGGGAAGACAATATACATATAGGAAAATCTTTATATGCGTTAGATTGTATAATATGTGCCAATATAATATGCGTATATTATAATGTGCTTTAATAAACATTTGTATTCCAAAAATTAAAAAACAATATATAGTATGTATATATATATATATATATATATATATATATATATATATATATATATATATATATATATATATATATATATATATATACTATATATTGTGCAGGAGCAGATAGTGGTTACTTCTGAGGGGAATGAGTGCTGGTCTCTCTCCTACTTTGGAGACTTTACTTTCTCCTCAGCGTACGAGGCCCTACGCGAGAAGGCTGGCAGAAGTCTTTCGTCGCAAAGCATCTGGGGAGGTGGTTTGCCGTCGAGGATCTCGCTGTTCATGTGGCGCCTACTTCGGCGGTTACTGCCTTTTCCGGACATCATACAGAAGCTAGGAGTGGTGTGTCAACCGTCTATTTGCCCTTTCTGCCATTGTGACTCGGCATCCATGGAGCATTGCCTCTATCATTGTGCAATGGCGCAGCAGGTTTGGAGTTATTTTGCAGGACTTTTCGGGCTTTCCCAAACTCAAGCGAGCTCGGTTAGAACAGCGTGCCATGCATGGTGGCTGCTAACGCCATCCTCGGCAATCAGCTGGTGTGCAAGGCTTATACCTGCTATCATTTTATGGACCCTGTGGTGCTCCTATAATAAGGGAATTTATGAAGATGCATCTCTATCACCGCCAGAAGCCATCAACAGAGTGCGGCAAGAGATTTATTTAATCTCTTTAACGCGTGAGTGTAACAGAAGAGGACCGACCGATGACTTCCTTCTCACGGCTGGGCTTATATCTCGTTTTGGCCTAACACCGCGAAAGGTTACGGTGTGGGTACGATGGCTAACACCTCCAGCGGGAAGGTTAAAACTCAATTCGGACGCGGCATACGCGGCAGAAGGTGCGGCAGGAGGCGCCTGCTTGCGCGATTCCAGTGGTCGTCTAGTAGTTGGGCTTAGCTTCCGCCTTGACGCAGCCTCAGCTCTAGAGGCCGAAGCTGTTTCCTTGAATCTTGCTACCCAGTGGTGTTTAGCCTTTGCTAAGCGCCCATCAGAGAGAGAAGTGGACTCAAAAATTTTGGCAGAGTTGATTGCGTCTCGCACAAACAGAATACCATCGAGAATTAAAGCCGCGGTGGCTTTCATTCGTTCTTGCCTGA